GCAGTGAACCAGTCCCTGTCCTCCCTCCTTGGAATGTTCTTGGCACGCATTGACAGGGTTCACAGGGATGTGAAAGGCTGATTTTTGCACATTATGTGCATTACAGCAAGTAAAAGTAGGAATGAGGCATCCAGGTTTCCAGTATAACACTGAGGAACATTGGAAAGTGCTGAAAGGTGACACTTAACCTTTACTCTAAAGACCTGAGCAGAGTTTATTCTTCTACAATGTGGTGGTGCTACTCACCCTCCTTATAATCTGGGCCAGCAGTGTCCAGGCCCTCTCCCATGGGATAGGAGCACTGCTTTCAACTCTCCTTCACTCTGTGGGATTTATCTTGAGCAAATTCACCATTTTTAAGTCAGAACTTCAATGGCAGGACACTTAGCTGCTCAGGGCAGCAGCTGCACTTGCTCTCCCTGCTGAAGCTGTGCCAATGTGCAGCAGAGAAGCACGGCTTGAGGCACAGTGGTGTATCTAGTGCCTGCACCAGCCAAGGCCATGACCCCAGCCAGCAGAGGTGCAGGGTGGGTTGCTGCCTCTGTTGCCACTCTTTTCACCATAGCTGATCTAAAGTCTTCACTAGTTCAAGCACAAAAGGTCCCTCAGAGCTTGAGGAGCAATAGCAAAGCCCTTTCTCCCGGGTGGGTGCCTCAGCTTTGCAGCTGCAGTCTCAGAGTCGTGTTTGTGTATTCTTTACCTCTTGGAGGTCTTTAACTCTTGCATCTACCCTTCATCCTTCCCCTGAATTTTCCATCAAGTCATTGGAGTTGTAATGATGGTAGGGAGGCACAGATTTACACCCTCACGTGAGCAGGCATCCATTTCTCTCTCTGTGGGCTGTGTTGTCTCCAGCACAGCAGGAGAAGCCCATTGTGGTACACATCTTTCCTGACTAAAATTGGGTTGTCCTTCTGTTTCTTGTCCAGCAAACATCTGTGGGTCTGTACTGAGGATGGGTTTGGTCCTGACTGCACCTTTCCTGACTAAAATTGGGTTGTCCTTCTGTTTCTTGTCCAGCAGCCAGTTAAACCTCTGTGGGTCTGTGCTGAGGATGGGTTTGGTCCTGTCTGCATGTAGAGAGGGTGTCCAGTGGGATGTTCTTTCAGCACCACTTGGAATCAAGTGAATTGCACTCCAGGACTCTTCACGGGCTGTAAAAGGAGCTGACAGTCTTCAAAGTTAGGGACTTACCCCTCAAACATCAAAGGTAGAACAAATGTGTCACATCTAAAGCAATTTGTTGCATTTTTAGCAGAAACCCTGTGTCCCACTTCAAATCTAGTCATGGTTTGGTTGGGGTTGTTTTTCCATAAGAAAAGCACCATGTGCTTATAATTTGGTCTTTGCCAAGTTACTTGGTCTTGAAAAGAAGTGCTCTGTAATAAGGTGCATCATTAAAAAGAAATTTTTCTGTGAGCAGCAGAGCCTGGTTTCCTGCGGTTTGGTGCCTCATGGTGGGATTATGTTGCATCTAATGAGGAGCACTCTGGCTGAAGCCTTTTCTCCTGTTCATAAAGACACTGTCTCATGTGAGTTCTCTGGTGTCTATAATCCATTTGGGATCAAACTGCCATTGTTTAGGTTCTCTCCTGTCTGTCAATGTAATACTGCCCATGTGGCCAGCTGTTCCTCCCTGGAGACATGAAGGGGTCATGCTGCTCTACCCTGATGCCTGTTCTCTCAGAAATGATTGAAAATTAAAGCATTTGAGAATTCCATCCCGTAGTTCAATTTGACTGAAATTGGCCAACAGGATAAAAGATAATTGAGGATAATACTGGACTGACACAACAATATAATAAATCTAATTTTATTAGGTAATTGGGCAATAAATGGTAGAAAGTAAATACCGGAGCAGTTTTAACATGGAAATAACTGTTCATAAATATTTATTCAAGCATTTAAATACACTCAAGGTGACCATTTTTTGCCTGTTTTGCATTTCAATTTTAGCATTTCAATTCACAGCCATATGAATGACCAACAAGAGCACAAACACCCCGATAGTTACACCCACACCTCAAAAATAAATGTAAAATCATATTTTTATCTGCGACTTTTTTTGAAAAGTGACAAGGAATTATTAAACATTTCTTTCTAAATACTACAGATTTAAAATTTTGAAACAGGATGGTCAAACAATTCAGAAGCCAGATTTTGAAAATGATTCTTACCAAGTCAAAGAATAAAAATAGATCATGTGGTTTGTACTGAGTTTCCAGAATTTTCAATAAATCTGAAATGAACAAAGTTAGACGAGAAATCCTTTGTTGAAGTGGTTTGTGGAAATATTTCAGAATTGTGAGTTATGAAAGGGAATTCATAATTATATGCACACACACAAAAATATCGTATAAGTTGGTTATTGTAATTTATTTTTCCAGTTCCAGAGCTATAGAGACATGCTTGCCATAAAAGGATTTTTGAAGATATTTGTATTTTCTTACCTTGGATGCAGTTTAGATGGATGAGCTACCATTGTTCTCCATGTTTCTCAAATTAGGAGAGCGCATTTCTAAATTCAATTTCATCCTCAGTGGAAATGGTTTCTCTTACTCTGGTAATCTTTGGAGAAGAATTATACACAGCCTATAAAGCTTCAAATTTCAAAACCTAATTTTGAATGTTAGTCAAGAGGTTAATTTAAGATTCATCTTCCAAAAGCGGAGTTAAATAAAACTGATAGAAGGCTGGAACTTGTCAAGTGGTTGAGAGGTTTATCAGCATGTGAGTATGAGTTCATTAGTTTTAATTAGTATAATCACTAATTTTGCATTAACAGTTTGGTGAGAGAAAGTAATTGCTCACACCCACTGCATTAGATTGGGAGATTAGAATTCATTTTATGAGGCAATTAGCATTTCAGGATTTTTTTTTTTTAAGGCTTTTATGATCTGCCATTGCAGTAGCCTCCTTCACCAAAGAGTTTAAATTAACCATAACTTTCATCCTAATGGGATGCAAAAATTAATGTAGAATTAAATGTGAACCAGTAATCCCACTGCGATAAGCAGGCAGCTAAAGCCACAAACCTTGATTAGTTTATAATGACCTGTTTTATTTCCCAGACAATGATAGCCATTTATCTGTCCTCAATTCATTATCTTCTCAAAAAGTTTATATTCTTGAATTTTATACAGCAAAACAAATAAAATATGGGGAAGGCAAAAGTAGAACAGTACTACTGAAGTAATAATTGTCAAGAGAAAAAACTGCAAGTTTCAATAGTAAGGCTTAATTTGTCAATTATTCTTCATATCAAATGCCAGAAAAAGAAGAAACAGCTCCCTTTGACATCCAGTGCCTTGGGAAGAGCCATGAATTTCACAGCAACAGCAATCACAACCCTGCTCTATCCATCATAACCCTTGGCAGCTACTGACACAATGAGAATGGATGGAATTGTCATCCTGGTTGGCAAGGAAGCCCTGATCTGAGATTTAGGACAGTTTACCCAAGAGATTGCCTTCCAAAACATCCTGTAAAGAAATGCACAAGTTCTGCTGGGAAAAACTGCTTACAGCAAGGCTGTAATTAACGTTTTCATGGTATCCATAACAAGACAAGACAACACACCCTTTACAGCAAATCTGCCACCCATTATATGGGATTACTCTTGCCCCTGGATAAAACAAATCTCTGCTCAAAAATCCCAAATCTGCTGTGAATTGGATGGGGCATGGAGGAGAACAACTGTTAAATGTTACAACTATAATGTAGTTCATGCCATTTCGGGTACATATATTAAAATAAGGGGGTGTGGGACGCTATTTAGGGAATTGCATTAATCTTCCTAGGGCATATGTTAAAGCGAAGTGTGTATATATACATGTATGTATTGCTGTAAGGGGCGTTAATGGATGTAAGAGATGTACCTTTATAAGAGGAGTTCAGAGAGAAAAAAATGCTTAAACAGCTAAAATTTAGGCACAGCTAGGCAGACTGGATCTCAGTCTCTCTGGCATCAGCTGGTGTCACCTTTAGAAGCTGAAGTACTTCAGCCAAGATCTGAGTCCTGCACTCTAAGGGCTGCCTCACTCTACAGGCTGCAGAGGCAGTCCCAGGTAACCAGGTTTCTGTCTTGGGTGGGTGAAATAAATACTTAAAATTGGGTAAGATGAATCATGACCGGCATGCCTGTGCCTTAGGGTTTGTCTATGCACACAGTTACTGTGGAGAGACATTACTCTTCCTGGATAGCATTACATGTGAATACACTTTCGGCTGAGTGAGACTTATTTCTCTTCAGCAATATCCTCTTGAGAGAGGCAGAACAGTTTGCTTTTTAGTCCTCACGTGGAATTCTTCTGCAAGAGCTGCTTTCTTTTTAGTGAGCTGCCCTACCTTAATCCAAATTTACTTTAGTATAAAAATGCCCTCAATCTGCCATCCAATCACCTTTGAGAGCAATTTAAGATTTATGGTAGTAAGAGCATCAATTAGGCACAAATACATTGACCAAAAAAATAGTGACAGTATCATATGCAATAAAAACTGACATTTATTTCACAAATTATGGGTGTAATAAAGCCTATTGTTTCAGGAAAAATGCCTGTATTTGCCCGTATGTTTCATTAAAGAATAATAATGCCATACATATTTCATTCCCTTGTTCTGAGCAGCAAAACTCTTAACTGTATAAAATGCCCCATGCTGTCCTTGCTTTGTTGAGTTGTTCTTTCTTTTTAATCAGATTTTTCCCCCTGAACTAATGAAATTGCTCCTTAAACACATACATCATTTTCATTTGAAGTGACTTATCATGGCTCAAACAGTTTGTCTGTTCTCCTGGAGAACAAGGCAGCTGCCATCTCCTTGTGCTGTGCACATCCAGGTCAGGACTGTGTCTGATCCCCGGTGTGCTGCGTTCTCTGAACCCCCACTGGTGCTGCTTTAGGTGGAGTATGGGTGGCTGATGTCTGTGGGGTCTGTGCCTTGCACATCTGCACTGGTTTCTGGTCCACTCGCCCTCACATTTAATTTCTCTCTTCCCGTAGTATGCACCGACCCGCTGTGCAGCTGCGCAGGCGTCCACAGAGCAAGGCATCCTTCCTCCCTGCCATCACCACGAAGCAGTGCACGACCCCCAGCTGGTCCCCTGCACGTGCCCGCTCTTCTCCTGCCCGTGGGAAGGGCATCTGGAGGTGGTGGTGTCCCACCTGAGGCAGACCCACCGCATCAACATCCTTCAGGGCGCGGAGATTGTCTTCCTGGCCACGGACATGCACCTGCCTGCACCCACGGACTGGATCATCATGCACTCTTGCCTTGGCCACCAGTTTTTGCTGGTCCTCAGGAAGCAGGAGAAGTATGAGGGCCACCCCCAGTTCTTCGCCACGATGATGCTGATCGGCACGCCCACCCAGGCCAACAACTTCACCTACCGGCTGGAGCTCAACAGGAACCAGAGGCGCCTCAAGTGGGAGGCGACCCCCAGGTCGATCCTGGAGTGTGTTGACTCTGTCATTTCAGATGGGGATTGCCTTGTGCTGAACACTTCCCTGGCTCAACTCTTTTCTGACAACGGAAGCCTAGCGATAGGAATTGCGATAACCACCAGCAAAGTTCACAGCTCCGAAGCTGAAATGTGATGGGGAGGAGGAAGAGGAGGAGGAACAACAGCAACAACAATGGTGCTCTAGCTGCCTTCTGAGAGCCAGAACTCACAGACTTTTTATCGGCGGGGGGGGTCTCGGGTCTTTTATGGTATTTAGTACTTGTCCACAGTGGGCATTATGTAAACATCCCGTGGTTACAGTCCCTGTGTCATGTATTTACCGTTTTGCTAATACAATTTTATGAGAAATTTTAAAGAGGCTAATCAATTTATTGTCGCCCTCCAGCAGCACTGGAAACAACACTTATTGATGAAAAGTGCACCCAGACTGACTGGCAGAAACCTTTGGTGTGACCATGCTATGCAAATATGTTTCCTTCATTGCCTGCCTAATGGACCAGAGGCCCCTGTGCCTGATGAAAGGTCAAGTATTCCACGGACAAGAGCACCCAGGTTTCCATATTAGTGATAGTGGTTTAACTCCTGTATTTTGGGCACAGCCAAGCCCTGCGGGAGCTGGCAGTTTCTGAGCTCCCTTCAGCTTCTGAGGAAAAAACCTTCTCACCCAAACAGTGAAAGCTTAGAAGATAAAGTCACTCCTCTGCTGAGCAGAGGGCTGGGAAGCCTCACTTTGCATTTAATTGGGAATGGCAGCTAGTGGTTGGTCACTGTGATCATGGTTAAATCTCACTCTTGTATCATAAACAGCAGGGAGAGATTGCTAGATGGTCTGGCCATAGGATGAATATAACCATACCCAGCCATTGGGGTATTCATCTTTTTAGCTGCTGTTTCCTTAAGTATTCAAAATGAAATTTTCATAAAATAAAGCATAAGAAGGGTCTTAAGCTGGACATTGATCTTGCTACTGAATTCTGTGCCAGTTAGACCCTCAGTTTGTGCTGCTAAATACTGATGCACAGCAATAGGGATAGGACACCTATTTGCCAATTGGCTTTGAGATTTGATAGGCACTTCTTTGAAAAAGACCTCAACAGTTTTTTGCCTTGTATACATTTTGTGGTGTGGTGGTGAGGGGTGACCATTGCTTTGTTCTCCTGAGGGTGTTTCACAAACAGAGATGGTCACAAAAAGACACAGGCTTCTTTAGGAGCTTCTTCTCTTGAATTGTTCCTTGGGGGGAGAGTTGGAGGCAGGTGCTGGCCATCTCCTGTCACTCATTCCCATCTGCAGTCAGGCCTGTTTCCTCCACAGCCTACAGCAGCAGTGAAATCCCACTGCAGTAGTGACGTGTTGAAGGAGGGGGCTCAACAGATAGTGTGACACATGAGAACCATGGGAAAGTGTCTTTTCCTGTTTTCCCTTCTGCCTGTATGTGGCTGTGGTCTGGCTGCTCCCGAATGCTGTTTCAAGAAACATCTGGTGGGTTGGGTCAGTTAGTAGCTTGAGAGACTGAGGATCATAGTTTGAGCCCCTTGGAAAACCAAGGAAGGGGGGGAAACAAGCTAAGAACAGTCCTTCAGTGTCTCAAAATGCATCTCACTCTAGCTTTGGGCAGGCAAAAACTCTGATGCTGATCTCTCCCACCTGTTGCTCTCCTGAGGATTACTTTAAATGATGCATGAAGTAAAATGAATTGTAGTTTTCCTGAAATGAATGCCATGCAGGTAAATGAGTTCTGAGGCATAGATGCACCTCACATCCTTACCTGGATTTTCACAGCAGGCCAGAGAAGGGTGAGGGTCTCTTCAACAGGCTGCTCATGACCACACAGTCTGAGGTCTGAGGAAAACTCAGTCCCTGTAAGAAGGCACTGGAGCACAGCTTCCCCACTCTCCCATCTCTGAATTTAGGGAGCCAAGGGTGGCACACTGATTTGCAGTGCCTCACTGGAACAGGCAGGCTTCAGAGTGGCTGGCTTTTTCCCTGTGGTGTTAAATATTCAGGACCAGCAAATGCTGCCCTTTCCCTAAATGATAGCAATAAATAAATCATTGGTATTTTTGTGGACTGAAACTGGCTTCTCCAGCTCCTCTAACAATTGTTGTGCTGCTGAATTAAAAGGAAGCAAAAGCAATAAAATCTCAATAAAACCAGTTCCTCTAGTTTAAACTTCCTGAGCTCTTTGTACAGTGGGGTAGAGACCAAATGTAATGATGCTTTTGTTGCCTGACCACAGGTTTTAGGGTGAGGAATATTATTTAATTATTCTTTTTTTTTTTTTTAGTCTATTTACTTCTTGTTAGTTGGCACTTTTTTTCCTTGAAATCTCAACTGAAATGCAGGTATTTTGGAGCATGGCCCTTGCCAAAGGACCAGTGTATTTCTGGCAGGACAAGTGTGACACTATCAGCTCTCTGGAGTGGGTATCTCCACCTCTTGCTAGCACCCTAATCTTGAAGGAGGGATAGTGGAAATGTGACCTTCCCAACATAACCTTCCACACATCTCATGTGTTCTTCTCCCAGAGCTTTCTAGTGACCACATCAACAGTTCAGCTTTTCCATTTTGTTTTCAGTCTTCTCCCCTCATCTGATAGCTGCCTTTCTCAGCCCATTTTCAAGCCCTCAACTCTGGTTTCACCTTGTGTCTTGCAGAGCCCATGGCATTTCTTACCTTCTCACATTTGTACCTGTTGGATGCTGTTGTTTAAATCATTTTCACTGTGTTCTGAAGCCAACCAAGTAACCTCCTTTACCACTTTTCTCCACATCTGCAAAGATCCAGCTCTGGCAGGGATTTCAGAAATTCAGATACATTGGAGTACTGAGAAAAATCTGCCCAGTAAGACTCCCAGTAAAGAAAAGGAAGACCTATTCTGGGAAGAAATGAGATATGGTTGCCTAAATCCAGCTTTCATAAGTGTCTCAACATGAAGTGCAAATGTTTTAAGGAATACTTTAGGACCTTCTACCACAGAAGATATTCTAATTCTGTCATAATTCAAAGCCTATGAGCAACCTTATACTGCCATAAAGCAAAGGTGAAACAAATATTCTGCATGGTAGGACATAAATCCTAAAATACTGGCAACAATGAAATCAACAAAATGCTTCAGTTTTCAAGCATTCTTTCAGTGCTCATGGTATAACAATTTTTACAGCTCTGCTTATGGTTGAAAAGGAGCTGAAGCTTGGCTTCCTAAATTTGATCTGAAATCAGGGCTTCTAAAACTAATTTTGTACTCTAATATTTTGCATCTTTACAATGTATTAAATCTGAATTCCTGCCTTCCTGTGAAGAACAGAGCCTTGCATCTCTTTGAAGTAAGGAAGTACCCTTCATGTGGTGCAGGAGAAAATGAGATCTTCCAAAATTGCTATGCAGCTGTTGCAAAACTCTGTTTTCCCAGATACCTGAGAGTGGTGTTCCATCTTTGTTTTGGTGGGGTTTCAGCTGTTCTTTGATTTTCTACATAGACAAAATATTGGCTTTGGATTTGTGGTTTTATTTTTAGGATTTTTATATATCTCTGTTCACAGATGGATTTTCTTGTGCCTAGTTTAGTAAATTACAACAATAATTTCATCAGGCTGAGACAGATGGATTGCTACCAGACCCACTAGAAAACCTACTTTGGTTCATCTGCACTATCCATCAGACACCATGTGAATGTAAATGTCAGATCTGCAGTAAAACAGCATTAGTGCTTTCAGCTCAATCCCATTATGAATTAAGCTCACATCATATATCCATGACTCCTTATAAATCAGCTGAAGCATCCTGAGTCTCATCGTCTTGAAAATGACAAAGAATCTTGCTGTGCCAGTGCTGGCTGTAGGGCTTGTTGAGAAGTAGGGCAGTAGTCAATCCTCTTCTCACTGGACTTGGTATCACACCTCTGTTTCATACCATCCTTAGGAACGCAGCCCAGTAAACTACTGAAGGCACAAGAGGTGCTAAATTCTGGACAAGTTTGGGTTATAGCAAAATGAGTCACAATATATTGCTGGATGCTACTGCATGGCTCTCTCTTTTGAGCATCAGAGGAACTAAATGCAGTTGACAGTACTGTAGTACAGGTGATTTATCTGTTTTTCTAGCCCAACACACACCTGACAAACACTTTAATTGGAGAAGAGTCTGTCAGAACAGGCTCAGATGTGCTTCTTCTTCAAATGAATCAGAAACAGCTTCTCACATGGAAGAGCTGCAGATTTTGAACTGTTCAGACACAAGCATAAGTTTTTAATTTTAAGTTCAATAAACTCTGCCTGCTCACACCATCAGAGTAAAGGGCAGAAAACAAAGACTGCATGTGTCATCACCAGAACTCTTCACACGCAAATATGATTCACCTTCTGCAGAGATGAGCCTGCAGAAACAGAGAGGGTTTCACAGCAGGGTAGCACAGGGCAGCACCTGCAGGCTCCAGAGGCATGCACATAGAGCTGAGGGCAGAGCTCATCCTCCAGACAGAAACCACTCAACAGGAACATCTCAGAGTGTGGTCACAGCAGGACTGCCAGGAAAGCGATTGGACCTTCTGGGTGTAGCAAACAGCAGGAGTTAAGGCTCTGTGTAGAGAGGTTTCTCTTCTCATCAGCACCTTCCACCTGGCTACAGGACCTCCCCTCTCCCGGGCACCTTGTCTCTGGAGCAGTGCAGCTGATCAGATCAGCTGGGTCTGCATGTGAACAATCCTGCACAAGGATGCTGCATGGTGAGTGCAAACACCCAGCCCCAGTCCTGCCTGGCTCCTTTGGGTTTGGTGGGTACCCATCTACCTGCAGCTGCTAGTGATTCCTCCAGGTCCTGACACCCAAGAGTTCTGCTGCCTTTCACCTGCATAGCTCCCACCAGGGCAATAAAGTACTTGCTGAAAACCACACAAAAAATCTTTGGCAGAACATCACATTAAGCGTCTACCTCATATTCCTGGCTAGGACTACAGGCAGTCATTCTTTCTCTCTCCACACAGGCAAGAGACTAATGCATAGCTTTCTTATCTCCCTTTGGGCTCTGCCACTCCAGAAAATACATGTGAAAGATTGGGAGGCAGTGATAATCTTCAAGGGAATAATGAGGACTAACTTTCATTGCAAAGATGGCTCTTCTCACAGGACTTTCACA